ATGTCAACGTACTTTTGATTTGTGTTAAGAATCATTTCAACAAACCATATATTTTGAATTGGAAGTAATTGAAGGAGTGAACTGAAGACCTTTCTGCAGTTGCAAATGAGATTCTCCATTGTTACAATGTGTCTTCAGAACGTTTATCTCCAACCGGAACAAGATGACATCCACTCTGTACAATCTTGTCTATCAAGGTTTGACATGGCCATCCATACAGACGTGTCGTGTGATCCATTCTCCAGCCTCTTTCGGCCAACTTCGGACATTGAAAGCAGCGAACTGAATCATGACTTTTCCCTGACATTTCTAACGTAAGGCCAGGCCCATTACATTCATGTCCACTGCCTAAAATTCTACAAGCGTCACTAATCAATTGTTCTCGGTATATATCGCTGGATAGAAAAATTGAGTTCCCAACTCTAACAAAAGAATTCAACCAAACGCGTTGGGTCAGATAAGCTTGCCGACCGAGTTCTAAATTGACATAGCCTGGCTGACAGTCTGACTTCCGTATGCACAGAATGGTTTTGTGTTCCATGTTTGGTCAGATACACTGATCAGGATAAGTTACTATAACTGTCTCGTCTACAAGTTTTCGGTCTATATCAGAGTATCAATCCGTCTCAGTAGCTTCCAGTTATAACGGCAGACCTGGTTTAAGAGGTTATGTTACTGAATCGTTCACTCAAAATTACATTGTTCCCCCTGATATCAACAACCTCCTGTGTCCCCGTAATTCTTCTCTCAAGGTAGGTCGACAAGAGCAGGGACATCTGCTCATTCTCTTTGGGCTCCATCAGTGTTGAATTCAGATGTTAATCTGTTACAAATAGGGAACTGAACATTGCATAAGACTGTCACATAGGGGATTTTATCAACTGACCTGTTAAAAAAACTGTTGGCAAAAACCGTATATTCGTGAGGTTTACAGATAAACAAAGGCATCTTAATTCAGTTTCACTGGAAACGGGTTTTGCTCCGAAATTGGGACAACATTTAAGTATAAAATAACAAAATTACTCACTGTGTATAACAAGGTGGGTCACGTGACGTTTGACGGTTTACTGAATATGTATATATATATTCAGAACTCTCCGTGGTCTTATTCTCAATGTACTTATTCACGGCTCTCCGTGGTCTTATTCTCAATGTACTTATTCACGACTCTCCGTGGTCTTATTCTCAATGTACTTATTCAGGACTCTCCGTGGTCTTATCCTCAATGTACTTATTCACGACTCTCCGTGGTCTTATTCTCAATGTACTTATTCACGACTCTCCGTGGTCTTATTCTCAATGTACTTATTCAGGACTCTCCGTGGTCTTATTCTCAATGTACTTATCTCCGTGGTCTTATTCTCAATGTACTTATTCACGACTCTCCGTGGTCTTATTCTCAATGTACTTATTCAGGACTCTCCGTGGTCTTATTCTCAATGTACTTATTCAGGACTCTCCATGGTCTTATTCTCAATGTACTTATTCAGGACTCTCCGTGATCTTATTCTCAATGTACTTGTTCACGACTCTCCGTGGTCTTATTCTCAATGTACTTATTCACGACTCTCCATGGTCTTATTCTCCATGTACTTATTCACTCCGTGGTCTTATTCTCCATGTACTTATTCACGACTCTCCGTGGTCTTATTCTCAATGTACTTATTCAGAACTCTCCGTGGTCTTATTCTCAATGTACTTATTCAGAACTCTCCGTGGTCTTATTCTCAATGTCTTCCGTTCTCAATGTACTTGGTCTTATTCTCATTCACGACTCTCCGTGGTCTTATTCTCTTAATGTACTTATTCACGACTCTCCGTGGTCTTATTCTCAATGTACTTATTCACGACTCTCCGTGGTCTTATTCTCAATGTACTTATTCAGGACTCTCCGTGGTCTTATTCTCAATGTACTTATTCACGACTCTCCGTGGTCTTATTCTCAATGTACTTATTCACGACTCTCCGTGGTCTTATTCTCAATGTACTTATTCACGACTCTCCGTGGTCTTATTCTCAATGTACTTATTCAGGACTCTCCGTGGTCTTATTCTCAATGTACTTATTCACGACTCTCCGTGGTCTTATTCTCAATGTACTTATTCACGGACTCTCCGTGGTCTTATTCTCAATGTACTTATTCACGACTCTCCAATTCTCCATGTACTTATTCACGACTCTCCGTGGTCTTATTCTCAATGTACTTATTCAGGACTCAATGTACTTATTCAGGACTGTGGTCTTATTCTCAATGTACTTATTCAGGACTCTCCATGGTCTTATTCTCAATGTACTTATTCAGGACTCTCCGTGATCTTATTCTCAATGTACTTGTTCACGACTCTCCGTGGTCTTATTCTCAATGTACTTATTCAGGACTCTCCGTGGTCTTATTCTCAATGTACTTATTCAGGACTCTCCGTGGTCTTATTCTCAATGTACTTATTCAGGACTCTCCGTGGTCTTATTCTCCATGTACTTATTCACGACTCTCCGTGGTCTTATTCTCAATGTACTTATTCACGACTCTCCGTGGTCTTATTCTCAATGTACTTATTCACGACTCTCCGTGGTCTTATTCTCCATGTACTTATTCACGACTCTCCGTGGTCTTATTCTCAATGTACTTATTCAGGACTCTCCGTGGTCTTATTCTCCATGTACTTATTCAGGACTCTCCGTGGTCTTATTCTCAATGTACTTATTCACGACTCTCCGTGGTCTTATTCTCAATGTACTTATTCACGACTCTCCGTGGTCTTATTCTCAATGTACTTATTCACGACTCTCCGTGGTCTTATTCTCCATGTACTTATTCACGACTCTCCGTGGTCTTATTCTCAATGTACTTATTCACGACTCTCCGTGGTCTTATTCTCCATGTACTTATTCACGACTCTCCGTGGTCTTATTCTCAATGTACTTATTCACGACTCTCCGTGGTCTTATTCTCAATGTACTTATTCACGACTCTCCGTGGTCTTATTCTCAATGTACTTATTCACGACTCTCCGTGGTCTTATTCTCAATGTACTTATTCACGACTCTCCGTGGTCTTATTCTCAATGTACTTATTCACGACTCTCCGTGGTCTTATTCTCAATGTACTTATTCACTCCGTGGTCTTACTCTCCGTGGTCTTATTCTCAATGTACTTATTCACGACTCTCCGTGGTCTTATTCTCAATGTACTTATTCACGTACTCTCCGTCTCCTTATTCTCAATGTACTTATTCACGACTCTCCGTGGTCTTATTCTCAATGTACTTATTCACGACTCTCCGTGGTCTTATTCTCCATGTACTTCCGTGGTCTTATTCTCCATGTACTTATTCACGACTCTCCGTGGTCTTATTCTCCATGTACTTATTCACGACTCTCCGTGGTCTTATTCTCAATGTACTTATTCACGACTCTCCGTGGTCTTATTCTCAATGTACTTATTCACGACTCTCCGTGGTCTTATTCTCCATGTACTTATTCACGACTCTCCGTGGTCTTATTCTCCATGTACTTATTCACGACTCTCCGTGGTCTTATTCTCAATGTACTTATTCACGACTCTCCGTGGTCTTATTCTCAATGTACTTATTCACGACTCTCCGTGGTCTTATTCTCAATGTACTTATTCACGACTCTCCGTGGTCTTATTCTCAATGTACTTATTCACGACTCTCCGTGGTCTTATTCTCCATGTACTTATTCACGACTCTCCGTGGTCTTATTCTCAATGTACTTATTCACGACTCTTCTTATTCTCAATGTACTTATTCACGACTCTCCGTGGTCTTATTCTCAATGTACTTATTCACGACTCTCCGTGGTCTTATTCTCAATGTACTTATTCACGACTCTCCGTGGTCTTATTCTCTTTGTTCCTATTCAGTTAAATTTGAAATTATTCAAAGTAATGACCCTTGCCTACACACCCGGGCCTGAGTGATGGTGACAAAAGGGGTGAAGTTCACTGATGATATGGTAGAATCAAATAGTTCGTGATAAAAGGATTTAAGGTGATTGCACCCAGGTTCTCGAGGTGTGGTAAAGAATACAATTCTTTTTATAAAAGAATATCATTTTTAGCCGTAGTTACTGAACAACTAGAATTATCAACAAACATAATTCTTTTAAAGTTTTATATAGTAATGTTATAATAAGGCTGCATATTTCATATTTGTAAAATTTGCTCAATAAAATTAATGTTTTTTTTTTAATAAAAGGTACTAATCACTTGTGTGTCTTTTGTACAATCTTTGACCCTACTGTATCTAATTCTTAATTTGTAGTAAAAGGTACTATTCACCTGTGTGTCTTTTGTACAATCTTTGTCCCTACCGTATCTAATTCTTAATTTGTAGTAAAAGGTACTATTCACTTGTGTGTCTTTTGTACAATCTTTGACCCTACTGTATCTAATTCTAAATTTGTAGTAAAAGGTACTATTTACTTGTGTGTCTTTTGTACAATCTTTGACCCTACTGTATCTAATTCTTAATTTGTAGTAAAAGGTACTATTCACTTGTGTGTCTTTTTACAATGACAGAGGTCCTGAGCTGTCCGGAAGGATTTGAGCGACATGGATATCGGTGCTATAAAGTATTTGCTGAACACGTCAGTTGGATCGATGCAAAGGTAAATGAAAACGAGGAAAATCCGAACTGAATACACATAGGAAAACACGTGATTAGTGGCTGAAGGCAGTAACAGTTCCCGATAATTAGGAAAATAAAAAAGTGAATCATATATTGAAGATATCTGTCATTCTATGACTAGTGGTGTGAAATCATTTTATAGTGAATAATGATATATCGATCTGTAAACCGGTACAGACAATCCCACGTATCTCAAATATATAATTGTTGCAATAAGGACGGAAACTTGTATATAATTATGTAAATATAAAACCTGATAGAGCTCGATCTCTTGATTCTAACACACTGGTATCCTTCAGTTTATTCATCAACTGGTCATTATCATGGCCAGGTCCTAGAAGGATTATGATGACTATAGCTGTTTCCGACCAGTGGAATAAAATCATAAAAAACAAATTGTGGAGGGGAAGAGAGGAGGAAAAGGGGAGAAGAAGGAGGGGCGGGCAAGGAAGAGATCGAGGGGAGCGGGGGAGAAGGAGGGGAGGAGAAGGAGGGAGCGGAGGAGAAGGAGGGGAGGAGAAGGGGGGGAGCGGAGGAGAAGGAGGGGAGGAGAAGGAGGGAAAGAGAGGAGGGGAGGAGAAGGAGGGAAAAGAGGAGGAGAGAGGAGGAGATCGAGGGGGGCGGAAGAAGAGGGAGGGAGCGGAGGAGGAGGGAGGGAGCGGGGGAGAAGGAGGGGAGGAGAAGGAGGGGAAGAGAGGAGGGGAGGAGAAGGAGGGGAGCGGAGAAGAAGGAGGGGAGGAGAAGGAGGGAAAAGAGAAGGAGAGAGGAGGAGATCGAGGGGGGCGGAGGAAGAGGGAGGGAGCGGAGGAGGAGGGAGGGAGCGGAGGAGAAGGAGGGGAGGAGAAGAAAGGGAAGAAAGTAGGGAGGAGTAGTATGGGAGGGGAGGAGAAGAATGGTAGAAGTAGAAGGAGGGGAAGAGAGGAGGGGAGTAGAAGGAGGGGAGCGGAGGAGAAGAATGGTAGAAGTAGAAGGAGGGGAAGAGAGGAGGGGAGGAAAAGGAGGAGAGTGGAGGAGAAGGGGAAGAGAGGAGGGAAAGAGAGGAGGGGATAGGAGAAGAAGCAGGAAAAGAGAGGAAAGGAGGTAAGGGGATGGGAAAGAAAGGGGAGAAAGGGAGGAAGATAAGAAGGAGGAAAGGACAAGGAGGGGAGGAGAGAAGGGGAGGTAGAAATATTAATAATCTCCCTCGTGACTGATTAAAAATGACTTTTTTATCTGTAAATTTCTTCCAAACTTCCATTAATAAATACATTTAATTTCGTTCCAGGAAATATGCCAGTTGTATGAAGCAGATCTTCTACAAGTTGATTCTGCTGCAGAGGAGGCCGTCATCGAAGGAATCCTGAAGCGCCTTCACGGTACAAAAGTCTATTTTATATTGGTTTGAGAACATGTCAATTTCAATTGATCTAACTTTGTCATGCGATGACGCAGTACAACTATTCCAGCAATATGCCTCTGTCAAATTACACGCCTGTCGTTTATTTAGACCTTGTCACGTACTCAGGACATTTACATAACATGGTCTATAATTTCGTAGGTCGATATTACCTCGTCGTTTTACAATGAAGCATTTTTAGATAAGACTTTGAAGTATCAAAATATATTTCAATTAGATCAAACTCGTGATGTTTAGGAAATTCAAACTACCATTGATTGCTGTTTGTTTCAGTCAGTTGTAACTTTACTGAAGGACAACAGGAAAACATATTTAAAGAAACACAACACATAATGTTACTGTGATATCGACAGAATGTAACAAGTGGCTGATAATTTCATGATTATCTTTAACATACACAAGTTCTCAAAAATATTTCCTTTATACAAGCAAAGAACACAAACAGCTGAGTCTTGACGACGTCGCCCTATACGACAAATGGACGGAATTGTAACGTTTTCGAAAAAATAGTCTTCAATCGCTGTTTGTACTTTTGTAACGAAGACGTTACATTTGTCCCTCAAACATCCCACCTTTTGAAGTTCGCCACATTAGACGTCTCTGTCGGGCAGTCATTTTGTCGGATAAGAAAAAGACCTTTAGTATTCTCTTGAATCAGAAAATGAACTCCACCGTTGTGTAACTGGCATCAGACTAAACATTTACACCAATTTTCTTTAAAATAGGACAACATCTATATTTGAAGGAATCAGTAGCCACTACAAAGTAGTCGGAAAACAAATGTCGACATCGTGTTTCTGGTGTAAAACCTCACTTACATACGTATACAAACATGGTAATCCAAAGTTATCTAATGCTTTGTCAAATTTTGACCAATCAGAGACCGCATTTAACCGGAAAGGTGAAATTTCAACCAATCATATGCCGCTATGTTGTGGCCATCTTGTCCTAGAAGAAAACGAATGTCCCCGTGTCTTTCCGGTGACAATACCTCCATACCTTTTTTCATTGAAAAATACCCCTACCCCACCCCCATGCCCCCCACCCCCACCCCCATGCCCCCTTCTGAAAACACATTTATCTAGTTATTTATTTTTCATAAATCTTCTTTCTTCTGTCAATATTGGGTTTTTTTAATCTTCGTGTTTCGACATTTCAACAGGAAGCGTCGGAGAGGAAGTGTTCTGGACAGATGGGGTCGACCTTCTGACAGAAGGAGAGTGGCGCTGGGCAGGAGAAAGGGGAGAGTCACAACTGATCGATGGTTACACGTAAGACGAGTTTATTAGTAAAATACATACATGATTCCAAATGCGTGTGTGCATTACTTGCGATTCCGGGAGAGCGATGAGAAACCATGCACTACATAGTCAATATATACTCCAAGGGGTTACGATCACGTTCGATACAATGTGTGATCGCTTTATCTATAATGTACAGTTACCTATCTACATAGTAGTCTCTTTATCTACAATGTACTGTTACTTTATCTACAATGTACTGTTACTTTATCTACAATGTGTAGTCACTTTATCTACAATGCGTAGTCACTTTATCTACAATGTGTAGTCATTTTATCTACAATGTAGTCACTTTATCTACAATGTAGTCACTTTATCTACAATGAGTAGTCACTTTATCTACAATGTAGTCACTTTGTCTACAATGTGTAGTCACTTTATCTACAATGTGTAGTCACTTTATCTACAATGTAGTCATGTTATCTACAATGTGTAGTCACTTTATCTACAATGTAGTCACTTTATCTACAATGTGTAGTCACTTTATCTACAATGTGTAGTCACTTTATCTACAATGTGTAGTCACTTTATCTACAATGTAGTCACTTTATCTACAATTTAGTCACTTTATCTACAATGTAGTCACTTTATCTACAATGTAGTCATTTTGTCTACAATGTGTAGTCACTTTATCTACAATGTAGTCACTTTATCTACAATGTGTAGTCACTTTATCTACAATGTGTAGTCATTTTATCTACAATGTGTAGTCACTTTATCTACAATGTAGTCACTTTATCTACAATGTGTAGTCACTTTATCTACAATGTGTAGTCACTTTATCTACAATGGGTAGTCACTTTATCTACAATGTGTAGTCACTTTGTCTACAATGTAGTCACTTTATCTACAATGTAGTCACTTTATCTACAATGTAGTCACTTTATCTACAATGTAGTCACTTTGTCTACAATGTGTAGTCACTTTATCTACAATGTGTAGTCACTTTGTCTACAATGTGTAGTCACTTTGTCTACAATGTGTAGTCACTTTGTCTACAATGGGTAGTCACTTTATCTACAATGTAGTCACTTTATCTACAATGTAGTCACTTTATCTACAATGTGTAGTCACTTTATCTACAATGTGTAGTCACTTTATCTACAATGTGTAGTCACTTTATCTACAATGTGTAGTCACTTTATCTACAATGTAGTCACTTTATCTACAATGTAGTCACTTTATCTACAATGTGTAGTCACTTTATCTACAATGTGTAGTCACTTTGTCTACAATGTAGTCACTTTGTCTACAATGTGTAGTCACTTTATCTACAATGTGTAGTCACTTTATCTACAATGTGTAGTCACTTTATCTACAATGTAGTCACTTTATCTACAATGTAGTCACTTTATCTCCGAAAGTGTAGTCATTTTATCTACAATGAGTAGTCACTTTATGTACAATGTGTAGTCACTTTGTCTACAATGTAGTCACTTTGTCTACAATGTGTAGTCACTTTATCTACAATGGGTAGTCACTTTATCTACAATGTGTAATCGGTTTATATTTACTTGCTCAATACGAAATTTTGTAATTTTAAGTTATCAAAACAATTCATTTTAAGTTTAATACACTTGCACAATTGTTATAGGAAACTTAACCACAATTTTCTGATGTATTCTTTTGAGAAAATTACCATAGAGCCGTGTAAAAGCTTTATATGGGAATTTTGAATTTTCGGTAAAAACGCTGAAATTGCTTCAATGTTGATTCTTGCACTGCTTAGTCAATTTCCTTTTTTATTAACGATGTTCTGCTTGTTTGAGGCAACAAAGGATAATTTACATATAAACACAGGCAGAAAAGGAAAAAATATAGATTGATGGACACAGTTATTGAGTTAATGATAAGGTTTAAGGCATATATACACTTTTAATTCTAAAACCGTCGGTATTAATTCTACTAAATATCAACACTAAGCAGTTTTTAAAACATTATTCATCATGTAAACAACCATACAATACCAGGAAATTAAAAATATTGTTTAAGTTGCAACTTTACTTATCCGCGTCTTTCTGAATATCAAAGCCCAATTTAAAATCATTTTGAAATGGTCTAGTACATTTGTAGCATATGAGTTATACTCACTAGATGGCGTCACTGAAACTCTCTTGTTGAAATTCCAGGTGTACAATACCTGTAGTATCTACTATGAATGATTTATGATAAATGTTGACATGGTCTAGTTAATCTTAGATAAACAGAAAAAAAATCATAAATAAAAAAAACTATTAAAAAAGAATCATGAAATATGTGAATTTCTATTCTTTGGCAGAAACTGGGCTCCTGGACAACCGGACAACGCCGGCGGAGAGCACTGTTTGGAAATACGATACGATTTTGGCTTTGACTGGAATGATCATGGATGCTCGGAAAAGAAAGATTTCATTTGCGAAGCTCCGTAAGTTCTCTTTGTATTTTACAATTCGGAAGTATAAAGATCAATATATATTAACTGATGTTTGTGAGTTTATCCGCTACAATTTATTGCTAAAAGTCTGAAGCAATTCGGAGTGAATTCAATACAAATTTCTTTTAAACGTCATTTTTTAATACGTTATATTTTTAGCACTTACCTGTTAAAAATGGTTAAATATCATTTCAAATATTTTACCTTTTCAAATATTTTACAATTTACGAAATCAAAGCATTTTTGAAATATTTAACAATCTTTAAGTACGTACCTATAAGTACTTAATTGTCTAGATGATTCTAAAACATTTTTAGTTATTCCAGTTTGAAATGTCTATCTATTTTTAATGTCTTAATATTTTGAATGTGTTTCTGTTTTAAATATCTTTTTATCCCTTTGAAATATCTATTGTTGGTAACTATCCCAGTGGTCGCGGTGACTAAGTGGTGTAGGCCACTGACCGTCTTTATCTCTAGCCCTCCACCTCTTGGCCGCGGTGACTATGTGGTGTAGGCCACTGACCGCCTTTATCACTAGCCCTCCACCTCTTGGCCGCGGTATCAACACTAAGTGGTTAAAACATTGACCGCCTTTATCATCATGTCCACCTCTACCCGGTGACTAAGTGGTTGAGGAGTCACCGTCTTTATCACTTCCACCTCTTGGCCGCGGTGACTATGTGGTGTAGGCCACTGACCGCCTTTATCACTAGCCCTCCACCTCTTGGCCGCGGTGACTAAGTGGTTAAGGAGTGTGACCGCCTTTATTAAGCTCTCCATCTTGTCCGACACTATGTGGTGTAGGCCACTGACCGTCTTTATCACTAGCTCTCCAGCTCTTGGCCGCGGTGCCTAAGTGGTTGAGCCAAAAGTCTTTATCACAGGTCTCCACCTCTTGGCCGCGATGACTATGTGGTGTAGGCCACTGACCGCCTTTATCACTAGCTCTCCACCTCTTGGCCGCGGTAATTATGTGGTATAGGCCACTGACCGTCTTTACCACTAGCTCTCCACCTCTTGTCCGCGGTGACTATATATTAACTGTGTAGGCCACTGACCGTCTTTATCACTAGCTCTCCACCTTTCTTGTCCGCGGTTTTTTAATACGTTATATTTTTACCGTCACTAGGTCTCCAACTCTTGGCCGCTGTGACTAAGTGGTTGACAAGTCTGACCGTCACTAGGTCTCCAACTCTTGGCCGCCTATAACTTGGTGTAGGCCACTGACCACTTTAGTCATTAGGAAATCTCCACCTCTTGGCCGCGGTAACTATGTGGTGTAGGCCACTGACCGTCTTTATCTCTAGGTCTCCACCTCTTGGCCGCGGTCACTATGTGGTGTAGGCCACTGACCGTCTTTATCACTAGGTCTCCACCTCTTGGCCGCGGTGACTAAGTGGTTGAGGAGTCTGACCGTCTTTATCACTAGCCCTCCACCTCTTGGCCGCGGTGACTAAGTGGTGTAGACCTCTGACCGTCTTTATCATTAGGTCTCCACCTCTTGGCCGCGGTCACTATGTGGTGTAGGCCACTGACCGTCTTTATCACTAGGTCTCCACCTCTTGGCCGCGGTAACTAAGTGGTGTAGGCCACTGACCGTCTTTACCACTAGCTCTCCACCTCTTGTCCGCGGTGTCTATGTGGTGTAGGCCACTGACCGACTTTATCACTAGCCCTCCACCTCTTGGCCGCGGTGACTAAGTGGTTAAGGAGTCTGACCGTCTTTATTACTAGCTCTCCACCTCTTGTCCGCGGTTACTATGTGGTGTAGGCCACTGACCGTCTTTATCACTAGCTCTCCAGCTCTTGGCCGCGGTGCCTAAGTGGTTGAGGAGTCTGACCGTCTTTATCACTAGGTCTCCACCTCTTGGCCGCGATGACTATGTGGCGTAGGCCACTGACCGCCTTTATCACTAGCTCTCCACCTCTTGGCCGCGGTAATTATGTGGTATAGGCCACTGACCGTCTTTACCACTAGCTCTCCACCTCTTGTCCGCGGTGACTATGTGGTGTAGGCCACTGACCGTCTTTATCACTAGCTCTCCACCTCTTGTCCGCGGTGACTAAGTGGTTGAGGAGTCTGACCGTCACTAGGTCTCCAACTCTTGGCCGCTGTGACTACGACTCTTGGCCGCGGTAACTAAGTGGTGTAGGCCACTGACCGTCTTTATCACTAGGTCTCCACCTCTTGGCCGCGGTAACTATGTGGTGTAGGCCACTGACCGTCTTTATCACTAGGTCTCCACCTCTTGGCCGCGGTCACTATGTGGTGTAGGCCACTGACCGTCTTTATCACTAGGTCTCCACCTCTTGGCCGCGGTAACTAAGTGGTGTAGGCCACTGACCGTCTTTATCACTAGGTCTCCACCTCTTGGCCGCGGTAACTATGTGGTGTAGGCCACTGACCGTCTTTATCATTAGGTCTCCACCTCTTGGCCGCGGTCACTATGTGGTGTAGGCCACTGACCGTCTTTATCACTAGGTCTCCACCTCTTGGCCGCGGTAACTAAGTGGTGTAGGCCACTGACCGTCTTTACCACTAGCTCTCCACCTCTTGTCCGCGGTGTCTATGTGGTGTAGGCCACTGACCGACTTTATCACTAGCCCTCCACCTCTTGGCCGCGGTGACTAAGTGGTTAAGGAGTCTGACCGTCTTTATTACTAGCTCTCCACCTCTTGTCCGCGGTTACTATGTGGTGTAGGCCACTGACCGTCTTTATCACTAGCTCTCCAGCTCTTGGCCGCGGTGCCTAAGTGGTTGAGGAGTCTGACCGTCTTTATCACTAGGTCTCCACCTCTTGGCCGCGATGACTATGTGGCGTAGGCCACTGACCGCCTTTATCACTAGCTCTCCACCTCTTGGCCGCTGTAATTATGTGGTATAGGCCACTGACCGTCTTTACCACTAGCTCTCCACCTCTTGTCCGCGGTGACTATGTGGTGTAGGCCACTGACCGTCTTTATCACTAGCTCTCCACCTCTTGTCCGCGGTGACTAAGTGGTTGAGGAGTCTGACCGTCACTAGGTCTCCAACTCTTGGCCGCTGTGACTAAGTGGTTGAGGAGTCTGACCGTCACTAGGTCTCCAACTCTTGGCCGCGGTAACTAAGTGGTGTAGGCCACTGACCGTCTTTATCACTAGGTCTCCACCTCTTGGCCGCGGTAACTATGTGGTGTAGGCCACTGACCGTCTTTATCACTAGGTCTCCACCTCTTGGCCGCGGTAACTATGTGGTGTAGGCCACTGACCGTCTTTATCACTAGGTCTCCACCTCTTGGCCGCGGTAACTAAGTGGTGTAGGCCACTGACCGTCTTTATCACTAGGTCTCCACCTCTTGGCCGCGGTAACTATGTGGTGTAGGCCACTGACCGTCTTTATCACTAGGTCTCCACCTCTTGGCCGCGGTCACTATGTGGTGTAGGCCACTGACCGTCTTTATCACTAGGTCTCCACCTCTTGGCCGCGGTAACTAAGTGGTGTAGGCCACTGACCGTCTTTATCACTAGGTCTCCACCTCTTGGCCGCGGTCACTATGTGGTGTAGGCCACTGACCGTCTTTATCACTAGCTCTCCACCTCTTGGCCGCGGTCACTAAGTGGTGTAGGCCACTGACCGTCTTTATCACTAGCTCTCCACCTCTGGGTCGCGAGTTTCAAAGAGACCTGGCACGTTCCAGGATTTACAGTATCATACCTATATTTCTGTTGCATGCAACCTGTTTTTTTATGTCTTTTAGTGGGAAAAGGTAAACAAAACTACAAATCTTCCACTAGTTTCCTCACTCAAAGTTTCTACAAAAGATACACAAGTGAAAATTACCTTTTACTACAACTTAAGAATTAGATACAGTAGGGTCAAAGAATGTACAAAAGACACACAAGTGAATAGTACCTTTTACTACAAATTAAGAATTAGATACAGTAGGGTCAAAGAATGTACAAAAGACACACAAGTGAATAGTACCTTTAATACAAATTAAGAATTAGATACAGTAGGGACAAAAATTGTACAAAAGACACACAAGTGAATAGTACCTTTTACTACAAATTAGAGTTAGATACAGAAGAGCCAAACAATAAATTAAACTGCATCTTACAGCTTATTCATACTAGACTGGTGCCTTTGTTATCACTGACGAGTCCTGGAAGGACGACACAGCTGTATATTTGTATTAATAGGTACTATTCACTTGTGTGTCTTTTGTACAATCTTTGTATTAAAGGTACTATTCACTTGTGTGTCTTTTGTACAATCTTTGTATTAAAGGTACTATTCACTTGTGTGTCTTTTGTACAATCTTTGTATTAAAGGTACTATTCACTTGTGTGTCTTTTGTACAATCTTTGTATTAAAAGGTACTATTCACCTGTGTGTCTTTTGTACAATCTTTGACCCTACTGTATCTAATTCTTAAGTTGTAGTAAAAGGTACTATTCATTTGTGTGCCTTTTATACAATCTTTGACCCTACTGTATCTAATTCTTAATTTGTAGTAAAAGGTACTATTCACTTGTGTCTTTTGTACAACCTTTGACCCTACTGTATCTAATTCTAAATTTGTATTAAAAGGTACTATTCACTTGTGTGTCTTTTGTACAATCTTTGACCCTACTCTATCTAATTCTTAATTTGTAGTAAAAGGTACTATTCACTTGTGTCTTTTGTACAATCTTTGTCCCTACTGTATCTAATTCTAAATTTGTAGTAAAAGGTACTATTCATTTGTGTCTTTTGTACAATCTTTGACCCTACTGTATCTAATTCTTAATTTGTATTAAAAGGTACTATTCACTTGTATGTCTTTTGTACAATCTTTGGCCCTACTGCATCTAATTCTTAATTTGTATTAAAAGGTACTATTCACTTGTATGTCTTTTGTACAATTTTTGTCCCTACTGTATCTACTTCTTGATTTGTAGTAAAGGGTACTATTCACTTGTGTCTTTTGTACAATCTTTGTCCCTACTGTATCTAATTCTTAATTTGTA